TTGACGCTGTTTTAAACATGCATATTTCGAAAATTGCATGTCTTAGAGACACTCGATCACAAACTTCTAGAACTCCGTGCATAAGCTAACGTCACTAAGATCTTCATCTAGGCAGAGGTTTTAGACCGAAACTCAACAAGAAGACGGTCGAAAAAGTGGGTATATACAGAGAAAAATCCATTAGAAAGTCAATATATCAGTCAAATCTTAACGTCAGCACGACTCTTTTGAAGTCTGTCCTAATCTATAGGTCTCACACCACTGGGAAAAATACAGGCTCTGAAACTTTTTATCATCGCAAAACCTTTCCTTGTCAGTCAAAACCTAAATCCTTTTAAGGTTTTTATTAGAACATTATGTCGCGTTGATTAGCAAAAAAATCATTGAGATCGAATGGAGACATTTTGAGTGGATCCGTTCGTTCGAGATCGAAAATTTATCTCGTCAACTTAGTTTTCTTTACGTTTCAATTGAATTAAACCAAAAGTAAAAATACCAATTAATAATAAACTAACTAATGCGGTGATAACAATTTTTAATATATGTGAAGAGATTGACGGTTTACAAGTAGGTTCATCACAGTATTCATCTTCGTAACCTTTAAAACAACTTTTTTTCTAAATATGGTTTTCATATCTATTCACAGCAATTTTATCGATGACCGGCATCTTCATCAACATGATAAACACATTCACCATGTACACAATGACATTGTAAAGCACTTTCATGTTCAACAAGATTGCTTTAAAGAACAAAAAACTATTCATGCTACTTTATTTTTCTTTAAATTTTTCTACACATATTTTCACTACCTGCTCGACTGTCGTTCTGAATTTTTGTGTTAAACGCACTCAAACATTCATATTGATTTAAGCGATTTAAAACATATAAATCTGAATAATCAGCTATTTTACATGAATTTGATGCTAGACAAAAGAAAAACAAGCAAAATTAAATTTCTTCTTTTTCTTATTTACTAATTTTTTGTTCGTCTAAACCTGATTGAATATGTTGTTAATAGATGATAAATGTAGATATGCCAAGTCCAAATATTTTCATTGCATATAATGAACAATTTTCATGATTAATTCAATATAAGTGACTTGCAAATATATCTAATGAATGTGCTGCAAATATCTCAACCTGTACCATAACAATACTAAATACTTCATCATAATTCATTGGTTCTGTTGAATCTTTTATCATCTGTCCAATAAACACGATAAATTTATGAAGGTTGATCCAATAACAGCAATAGGTTCATTAGGATTCTCAACAACACTATGTTCATAACTAATAAAATAAAGTATTCCAACTAAATGATTAACAGTAACAACCTATGTTGATCCAATATTTGTTTTAATTTAGTTACATAACTTTCATCATTTTTTAAAACCCATATACAACCATAAATAAGATCATTTACATAAAGATTTTGAACAATCCAATCAATAGCTATACTATTGGGAAGTGTCGACAATAAGTTTCTGATGTAGATTTATCCATCCAATAGAATATATGATTATTTGTATCAATAAAAATCAAACTAGCACCATGTTGATCTTCAATAAGTACAGCATGATGTGATGCATTTTTTACAGAATTTCCAAGAAGACAACGACTTTCATCTGGTTAAGATATTGGAAGACCAATTGTTTGATCTATATAAAAAGATAATAAATAAAAATATTTGTCTCTACATCAAATTTCTAAGAACAATACTATATACTTATACCGAAAATTTGCCAAAATTCAATAGACTTCAATATAATTTGATCAAAAAAATATTGGATTTTGTTTTCTCAATATTGAGCTAAGAGAAGATAATCACATGAATTGTTTTATATGAATATTTGACAAAGAAGATGGATTCTAAAAGAATTTTATCTTATGCAGTATTTGACAAAAAAGACATCTGGAGTCTTGTCTTTTGATTGCAGAACATCACGGGTCGCTACTGGTTACCATTGTCGAGTTATTAACGTTACACATATCCTTCTCTAATTCTGGGATAAACATTACTTCAGCTAAAATGAGATGTTCAGTAATCCTAGTTCATGTTTATATTACATAGGGAGGCTTCGATAAGACTAGAACAATCTTAAAAAAGTTCGTAACTATGAGTCT